CGGCGGCGGCGCGGGGGCGACCCTGAGCGGGCAGCGCGGCGGCGGCGCGAGGCAGGCAGGGAGGGAGGTCGAGCGAGGCGGCCGGGGCTCATGTGCGGCGCGGGCGGCCGCGCTCCGTCGCCACCCGCAGACGCGCTGACAGGAGGCAGCTTCCGCTGAGCCGGCCCGGGGCAGCCGCGGGGGCTCCTCGGTCGCCCGGGCAGGGCTGACGGGCCAGCGACGGCCGCAGGATGAAGTTCGCCGAGCACCTTTCCGCGCATATCACGCCGGAGTGGCGGAAGCAGTACATCCAGTATGAGGTACCGGCCCTTGCGGGCGGAGCGGGCGCCGGGCATCTCTCGGGCCGGCGGGGCAGCGAGCGCGCCCCGTCGGGAAGCGGGCACGGTCGCGGGCGGCGGGCTGCGCTGGCTCGGCTCCTCCCGGTGCGGATCGCCGTCCTTGCCCCTCCGCGGGGCTGAGGCGCCGGGCGGCGGGCTCCGCCGCGCCTCCGGGAAGCGCGCCGGCCTCTCCTCTCGCCGCGGCGGCGCGGGTGCCCCTGCCCGGCAGGCGCCCAAGTGTGCCGTGCCGTGCCGTGCCGCAGAGGGGCCGTCCCGCCGCTGCCCCCGTCGGCGGCCTTCCTTTCGCCGCTCCTCGGAGGAAGCCGGGAGCCCCACTGCGGGACTCGGGATGAAGCGCCGCGCACGCGGCCGCGCCCCTTCGTCGGGGGGCAGGAGGGTCGCCCGGCCGTCCGCGTCCCCCTGCGGGGCTCGCCGGGGAAAACCGGGTGCCGTGGCGGTTCTCCGCCGAGCGCCCGGGGAGGCTGCTAGGGGGCGCCCTCCGGTTTTCCCCATATTCATTGTTCATAACTGTCCTTGACCAGGGTGGGATTTGCACATGCCAGGAGCATGCCATTGCTGATTCGAATTTAAGGGTTCGTGTGTAGTTCGGGTGGGTGCGGTATCCTGGTAAATGCTGTCCTTGCGGTTGTGATGACTGCTGGGAATAGTCCTAGGAAAGCCTCCTGCCTCCCCTGGGTATTCCTTTGGGTTTGAAATATGTAGGGTTGGGGTTAGAGGTCAGTAGTTTCATCTTCCTTCTGCTCACAGCTTCTGTTGCATTTTAATTGTTCACTATTCCTTTGGGGTTTTCTCTAATTAGAACACCTTTCCATTTCTCACGGGAAGGCTTTTCTCCAAAAAGTCAACAGATGCATCTTTGGCTTGCGCAGCTCCCTGCGAGCCCCGCATGATCAGTCCCTGTTTTTGTGAATTTCCATTCCGCTGTCCTTTGTGACTTTCATTCAGTTTAAGCACTTGCCTGAGATTGGGAGAGCGCTATTCCTGCCAGTGCATTTATTTATTTGTTTATTTATCTGATTTATATCCTCTGCAGCATGTCTCTTTTATTTATTAGATTTCTAGTCCATCTTTTTTCCTACAAAAAATTCAAAGCAGCTTACAATAATGCTCCTTCTGCTCTCAATCTTAGCCTCACAACAACCACCCTGTGAGGTAGGTTGGGCTGAGAGTGTGACTGGCCCAAAGTCACCCAGTGGGCTCCATGGCTGAGCGGGGACTCAAACCCAGATCGCCTAAGTCCCAGTCCCGTGCTCTCAACCACTGCACCACTCTAGTTTTCATTGGTGCCCTTGCTTGTATTGTATCAGTGCGATTCTAAGGGGTGTGTGAAGTGATCAGCTATGACTTAGAAAGCTCTCCTGTGTGCTTGCACCTGGAGGATAGTCTTACTATTTTTCTCTATTGTTGAACTTTATTCACTATGTCATTGGTTCTAATGGGGGGGGGGGTAATTAGTTATGCCAGCTACAGGGGTCATAGAAGGGGGGGCAGTCTTGGGGCCTGCAACAATCAAAGCAGCTGTGGCTTCAAGGCTCTCTTCACCCTTGCACTGCCTAGTATTATTGCATTTGAGAAGGGTTTACTGTTGGTAGTGTGATGATAGCCACAGAATTTTCTGTGGCTGTAACTGGGACTTCGAGGACATATGTGGGCTCATGCCAGCTTCATCGCTTCCTAAGTAAGCTTGGACAGTTGTCAAGGGGTTTAATGGTTTCTCTTCCTGTTCCTGTAAGAATTCTAGTAGAGAGATAAATTTAAGTACTATCTGAGGTGATTCTTGGCTTTTAAAAGATTCAATTTAAATAACGGTGGGTTTCAATGATGGCTAAAGCAGCAATATCTAGGTTTTTTTTAAAGACAAATGGAAAACTGTCTTAAATTAGTGCACTTATCACAAAGACCTTCTGAGGTTTTCCTGCTCATTGCAGATAGGCTGATACTTGTTAAGGGTTAACTTGTCAGTATTTGGTGATGTTTTTCCATAGCACTTTTTGTATTCTATGCTTGCTCAGTGGAAAATAGCCTTACAAAATGCTTGATGAATTTTAAAAGGGCACATTAACAGGATATTGTCATACAAAGATTTAGCTCTTAGCAGGAGATTAAATACTATATTTACCAGCATGAGCTGGTATCCTGGAATTTTCATTTGGGTATTCCAATGGGGAGCCAGGTACCTGTGTTTTAAGAGTAGTGTACAGTGTTCATTGCCCTTGAATGCTTATGGATGGGCATCCTGCTGACCAATTCTCTTGATTAAGGGACAAAACTTAAGCTTTAACTATAATGTCTCTACAGAGAAGGAAAGAAGTTAAGATGTCTGGGGAAATGAGTAATTGTGAGAATTTTCTCTTCCCCCCACACTTTTTAGATAATCTTTTCCAGTTGTTTTAAAGATCCAATTGCATTTGCTTTTATCATGGAAGCAATTTTTCAGCACCACTGTCAGTTCTCTGCGTGCAACATACTGAAATTTCTCTCACTTCAGTGACCACTTAGCAAATTGTCCCAGTGCAGTTTTTCATGCAGCTGATTCTAAAATGGAAAGGATGAGAAATGTGACTGAGGAAGATTGCAGCTTCAATTTTGAGAATGAAATATTTGGCATAATCATTTGCCTGTCCTACATATGTATTAGTGTCTCAATGAGTATGTAGCATTCTTAGAATCCTAGATTTCTGAGGGGCGGATAGGATGGGTTCTATGAATAGCTTGACTATGTGCTTTGATGATTCAAAGCCTTGCTCCTTGAATTGACTTCTGGTAAACTCAAAGGGGAAAAATTGCTTAGAATTAGGGTTGCTTACATTTTAATTTTCAGTTGCTCATCTCTCTTAACTGATTGATAGATTTCATGGGGTTGGGAGCTGAACAAGGCAGCTTAAAGGAATGAGGCTGAGGCAGTTAGTTCATGCTCTTCCCTCTGATCCTACCCTTGATCTGGGAGTTCTCTATGCTTTGTCAGTTTCTCTGAATATGAATGTTTTCCAGTATGAATGTTGGTTCACACTAGCCTGGTTGGTTGCTAATTAGTTGCTTGTACTTTTGAAGAGTGCTAACATGGCTTGATAAAAAGGTAGGCCTGTTATTGCCTCAACCAACTATGGCTGGATTTGTGGTACAGTGTAAATATAGGGAAATGGAGTCACTCTGTCTCACCTTGGTCTCCAGGTACCCTGTTGAGTGGGCTGTGTCAGTTAACTACCTATCTAGGGTTGGCTTTTAGGGACACACCAGAGGAGGTGTTTGTCTCTTGCCAGCTCCACTATAGCATGGACATCTTGATGGAGCTCAAAGCCTGGTATTGGAAGCTTCACTTCCTTCTAAGCTTTTAGTGCTGTGGGATTTCAACATCTGTGTAGTAATTTGGCTTCCTGCAAATTTACCTGGAGATTTTAAGTCGAGCACTTAAAGGCCTCATTGTCCCATTCCCATGCAGACCAACAGAAGAAACTGGAAATCTACTTACTGTACTTTTAAAGCACCCAAAACTTAACTTCTGGGGGAAATGTAAATGCATTGAAAAGATTCCATGCAAACATTAAAACAAGGAATAAAAATAATACAGAATAAAACCAAGAGGAAATCATAGAGTGTAACCCTTCACCAAAAAGTTCTTCACATGGCTAGAAGAATAAAATATTTCTCATTTGGAAAGAAGAACCCCCTGTTTGTCCAACTAAGAATGCTTCCCCTTCACAGCTGTCCAAGAGCTCCCTCCAGAGCAGAGGCAGGCTAATGCGGGCAACCAGAATGTAACTCTGTTCTCATGATCATACCTATCCCCCGTGATGCGGCCATGGGAACCTGCTTTAACCCACCGTGGCTGCATTTTCCTTCTTGGTGGATCTTTGCCTCCTTCAGAACAGTGTAGGTGCTAGGACAGTCCCTGTACTGGGGATGGGCAGAATTAAATAAATAGGTGAACGAGTATAAACCTTTAGGGAAAGGCTCTGCCTGAGAAGTCGAGTTCAGTAGAGCTGACCAGCCACAGCCTTTCCAAACTGTTCCTCTTGGAGCAGGCCAGTGACTCAGCTGCTTTGGCTGGCAGGGCATTGACTGGCCCAAAACTCCCCCCCCCATTAACCCTTTATTGTCTAAAATGAGATCCGCAGAGGACAGCTTCAGTGCAGTAACTCCAAGCGCTGTCCACAGTGCCTCTTATAGAGCAAGTATGTAAAAGTGCCTGGCATACCAGAAAACCTAACACATGTCAGCACCAGCTTGGCTGCTGTGACTCAGGGTGGCTGTCCTGAAGACCATGGGGTTGTCCCAGTGCATTTCTGGCAGATAACGGCAGTCTTTTGCTTTCTTGCATTAAAATAGCCCCCTGCTGGTTAAATTTCAGTTGATCAACAAAATGTGCAGCTTTTTAAAAAAGGCTGAACAAGGCAGGTTGTGCTTGGTTATGAGGACTTGGAGGTTCCAGGGTTGTAGTTTCAAAAATCGCAGAGGTTTCCATTAAAAAAAGTTGCGTATTTTGGAGAAGAATTTGTGTAGGAAGAATGTGTGCAGGCAGGGCGTGGGGTAAGTATAGCGCTACCTCAAAAGACTGCTAGGCTGGAAAATTTGTCCCCGCTTGGCCATGATTTTCCTGGGCCAGTCAGTCATTCTCATCGTTCTTGGAAGGATAAAGGAGAGCTGTGTAGGCCTCCCTGAGTTCCTCCCAAGAGGAAGTAAGGTGGGCTGCAAATGCAGTGTAATAATCCTGAAAATCTAGTTTGGACTTAAATATTATAGACCATTTCAGCCAGGCGAGGCTCATAGTGAGGCTTTATTGATCAGTGCCTCATCACAGCACCGCTTGAAAGATGTATCGCTCTTAAACAATGGAACCTTTTATGGTTGAATTCATTGGTAAGGTGGAGAATTAGAACAGGTATTAAATAGAAGAATACAGAAAGATACATTTATTTATAATTTGATAGAACATAGTGAGGGGTGAATGGATTGCTTTTTGA